AATACAACAAACAACGACCTACCGGGACTCAAACCGGCCTGCACAAGCTTCTTCTCGGTCACAAAGTCTTCGAACTTCAGGCCGAGCTCTGCCCAAGACCGGAGCGCCTCTCTTGTCTTCAGGTCCAGCCTAACATCGGGGTCCTGGATGGTTTCCCTCCGGTGAGTCGAGAAAGGCCACCCCTCAGTGTTGCGGACCACGAAATAGCACCTCTTCTAGGCTGGGACCTTATTTTAGAGCTCGTGCAAGAGTTTGAAGCCAGGACAAGGTGACAGGTAATAAGTTCACCTGTTCTCGAGTAGAACACAAGACAAATTCTTTTTGATGGAAAGAATAGAAGAAAAGATGTCGAGGTCAAGTGGAAGACTGTAGTCGTGGAAAAGAGAGAGTCCCTACGACGTTGAGGATGGAGTTCAGGTGCAACTAGTCTATGGTGATGTTGAATAACTTTATGATTTCAACTATCAGAGGGTGAAGTGGAAGACGAAGACCAGCTATGAGCTGTTCCTCGAAGATCACGATCTCGTTGTGACCATGTTCCCAAGGGAAGTTACCTAAAGGGATGCTTTAACGAGGTCGTTAGGAAGTCTGTACCGAGCTACTAAGGATAGGAGCCTACCTGTCGTCATTGTCGACGGGCCAAAGTTATCTGGCATCCGACTTCGATGTGAGGTGGAAGCCAGGTTACTAGAGGCCTCTCGCTCCCCCTGGGGTGAGTCCACCTCAGGAGGACCGTGGACCGCATCTTGACCCAAAGTAACCTCCTCGGTAGGACGAGTATCTACGGCTTGAGCCAAGGTGGCTTCAATGGAATCACCGCTCCCATCTAAGAGGCTATCGAAACTAAAGCTAGACATGATGGAAAGACGCGGAATCGAAAACGAGAGAGCTAAGGGAGACTCACCAAAAGAAAGACCAAAGAAAGGAAGGCGACCTCGGAAAGACACCGAATTGAAGGACTCGAGTGCGAGCTCAGATTGCGGATTAGCGAACTTGTGGCAAAGATAATGAGCTCCTTGCCCCTATTTATAGCCGGTGTGTCCAGGGATCAACGGTCGAGATCATCGCGATCCAACGACTCCTAGGAAAACTGGTTGCACGACCCCTGAGGTTGAAATCGGTTTAGCGCGTGTTTTGACGTCCGTAGAGTTTTTAAATGGCATGACATCAACGCGTAGATTAGACACGACCTGGGCTATTCCTGGTTGAGTCGGGCGGCTAAATAGGTCCGACCGGCGATTCGCCCGTCAAGCCGCTTAGACCTCGTGCCAAATCCACCTGGACTCGTCATGAACTCCCCACACCGGGTTGAGACCCCTGGCTCGGGGAGTGGGGGGCAATTGATAAGGGATGATTTGGCTCAACCTAGCAAAAAGGGGACACGTGGACACGACCTGACTAAGGGATGACAACTCAGCCTAGTTTGCAACGATTGAGCTCGGGTATTCAACCACCTCGGCACATAATCACCTCAGCATCGAGGTACCTCGGCATTCAATCCAATTCGGAACTAAAGAACTGAAGTATCAGCTCAAGGCTACCGACCCGAACCGCCACGTAACGATTCCGGAAATTTCTCCAGTAGACTTCGAACCTCACGGGATCACACCATGTAATGGTAGGCCTAATCTTCTCCCCACCCAGTTCAGGAGGAATTGATAATCTTTATTACTTGATACATTACTCCCCAATTAAAGCAGAAACGGATCTCCTCAGGGCAAAGATTCTGGAACCGACCCGCAAAACCCGCGAGAGGTCAACTATATAAAGGCACCAACCCCAATGACACAAGGTACGCATGATTTTTCTACTCTCTAGCTCTCTAGCTCTCAAAGCTTTCAGCTCGCACCCCAGTATACTAACTTAAGCGTCAGAGCGACCTCGCTGGGTTAGCCACCCCAGGTTCTCTGATCGATTGTCTTGTAGATTCATCTAGCTCGCTGCTCGATTGGAAGCCAGATCATCCTCTAGTGGGGAGTAGTCAGATCGCGCTACATCAAGCCTGATAGTCAGATCCCCTCCGCTATTTTTATATTATTTTGCATACATTTGTATTGTATATATTTGCATTTATACTCTTTCCAAACTAAGCTTATTGAGCATATACCCACCGTCGACCACCACTTGTTGGTTTTCTCTAATGAAAATGGTACATAATGCTCCCAATTTTGTCATATTTTAATTGTGAGTTTTTTCTTCAACTGTGAGTTTTTTCTCTTGTTTTTAGATTTCCCTTCAATTGTGAGTTTTTTTTCCTTGCAAAGCTAACATTTATAATTGATTATTTCCAAATTAAATTGAGTATAATTATTCATTTATAATCGATTCTATAGCAATTTAACAAAGTGTATGTGAGATGCATGGAATCAAAATACATAACACAATTGTGAATATAGACTAATTTTGTTTGCATAGTCTGTCCATAGTTCAAAACAACTGTGGACTATGGTGTAATATGGATTTATCTCTGACACCAATGTTTTAAAAATTGACCCAGAATTAGAATTACTTTGACCACTAGTTTTTGGGTCAGCAGTTTAACCGTCTGATTTGAATGGATGGTCCATTCCAATTTAAAAAATAAAAAAATAATTAAAACAAAGAAATGGCTAAAAATTATTATTTGAGTTAAATCAATTAACGATTTAACCACTCGAGTCAGTGGGTCACTACTAAATCGACGGTTTTTAGAAGAAAAGACCAGGTCAAGGGTGAAAAGGAACTAATTACTTAGCGGTTTTTAGGTCGAACGATCCGGCCGTTCAGATCAACAATGGTTCGAAAACCCTGCCTGATAAAGTGGTGTGATGTCATCAATTTCTCATCCACTATAAACAACACCCCCTTAATGGGTTCCTTAGGTTAAATTGCCAAATTTATCATCATTTGAATTTGATACTTCCAGCTCGGTCCTAAGCTAATCGAGCATTAGACGTGGCGTACCAAAGGGAGGAGTTTGTCAGTTTGTGTGACACGACACCAGAACAGCTTGGAAGAGATCACGGCATCGCGCCTTAACTTTAGTTCGGTCGGGGGAGGCAGCCGGAAGCAGCCTCCCTTTTTTTCAGTTGGCCAATGTCTGACATTCTAATTTTCGGGTCGATTTGGATCCTGCATCCTGGTTTTACCATGAGGACTCCACCCGGTCAACCCCTTTATCCTCTGTCTCCGGTTTGGGTATATGTTGCATAATCCAAAGTTCCGAACCGGATTAGGTTTTCCAAACCTTGAAAATTGAAATCTAGGGCATCCGAATTGGGTTCTTCTGGAAGGCAGCTGAGGACCCATTAATCAATTACTGGTATCAGGCCACAATCATGTGTGGACATGTCAGATACATCAATGTCGGGTCGGGCAAAAAGCTCAACGAGAAGGAGGTTTGATTGAATGTGCCATGTCGCCATTGCAATATTTAATTTGATTTTGGTACCGAAACCGAACTTTCTGATATGTGATATCCCACCCAAACCTATCTTCTATCCTTTTCCTCTGCATGAAATCTATATATTTTAAATTATATTAGTTGGTTGGTCAATGGTCAGTCAGTCTTGGATTCCAACGTCGGCCCATCTAACACCCAATTCGGAGCCCATTTTCTTATTGGTTTAATACTTTGAATAGTATTGGAATGATATCTCCTTCGTATCATAATCTCATTAATTACCTCCATTTGCTCTTTTCTTTTCCTTATTATATAAGGTTTGAGAAAAACAGGGTATATAAAATTAAACTTGGAAAACAAGTTATAATACGCATATGTTCTATTATTAGGAGAAGCGGGTCCCGGTCCGGGTCGGGTCATCACTACATTTTATTTCCTGGTTTGGTATCATTTTGTTGATGAAGATCTAGGTGTATTTTCATTGTGCTTTGAGAATCTGACACGTGTTTGAAGTGACACTGAAATGGATTCTATATGGGTCCTATTACCGAATCTAAGCTGGGTCGTGACCCGGTTGTTGTAAGCAAAATGTACATCTAGGTGTCCAACCAATGACCATCTACCATATGGTCCATAACATAATACTCTCTCATTACTTTCTTTTCCTTCTTTTGGGTTTTCCTTACTATAATGAATACTTTATAGTTTATACAACCAGAACCATATTGGCATATTGGTAAAACTTAAAAAGCAAGTAACAATAATGTCACTGAGACCATTGGTGTTATGCCATCCGGTCAGTCGGACCGGGTCCTTGTTTGAATTTAAATGGAGCAGGCAAGAATATGTACATCGAACTCGGATGGATAGGATAAGTCAGCATTGAAGTTGCATCTTTAAGTATTTCTGTCGGGTCTGGGGAAGATCCATATCATTAGCTTTTAATTCAGATATGAACGTGTATGGAAAGTTGATGCTTGAATATGAAATGATCAACCTGGATCTGACTGGATCCGGTTCATTTCATAGCATACTGAAACGATACAGAACAGTAAGTGGGTCATCGACCAAAATCTCTTTATTAGAAGCTTAAGCCACGGCTTCACATGCGGGTTTTCGGATCGGTTTTATTCCATCTCTAGAGCTATAGACTTTATACGAATTTCCTTCCCTACATCTACATGAATCCAGATTCTCCAATCAACGATTGGACTTCACCACCCACCGTTTGATCAATTGACTTTTCTATTGCAGCATAAAGCCATGGACCATGAAAGATGTGCTCCTACATCCACTTGATCACTTCTTCTTATAAAATGCATTGTTTATTTATCGAGATTGCATTTTTTTTTTGGTGAATTATCGAGATTGCTTATGTTTATGTAGCGTAGCTCACGAGAAGATTGTGCTCTGTGTCTATTGACTACTGCTATACGTAGGTCGACAAAATGACCCAAATACCCTTAATTAAGTTGACGAACACGAAAATTTCCTTTAGAAATTAGAAATAACTCCATCAGGACCACCACCTGGCACCTGCGCGAAGCCCAAGAAGAGGAAGGAGAGAGGCCAGCATTTTTGGACTATTAGGGTGGGCATTGGGCAGATGTCCAGCCCAATCCAATCCAATTGCAAATATCCAATCCATAAAAAATCCATGATTGATGATCCATCGAGTTCATCTCCTGACTCTAAAATCTCTCATCTAAAAAACGGTCAACCGTTCCGGTTTACGCAGAGACTGGGTAGCCATGAGTAGTTCAGGGGACGAAAAATAGGAGGATTTTCCAAAAAAAACCAAGCAAACGCAAATATGATCCACCCGGGAGCTAGTTTCAATTTTCATGGCTGAAAGGAATCTTGAGGCCATCACCAACATGACCATGACCGAGAAGGAGATTTGCCGGAAGGTCGTCCACCTCGACGTCGAATGGAGTCTTGTGGACAGGGCCGCGCTCCTCCGACGCTTCTTTCGGGTCCTTTGCAATCGTTTTCTCGTTTGTTCTGTGGGGAAGCCGTCCAGGTACCGGCGGTTGCCTCGTAGTGTGTCTGTTCCGTCTCCGGTTGCGTTAGAGCGTGCTTTGGTGTCCGGGGACTTGGCATCGGCGTCCGATGATCATGATGTCGATCCGGATTTGGTGAGCCTCAAGATTAGCGTGATGGGTGATTGTCAGATTGGAAAAACTAGTTTTGTGGTGAGTTTCTCTCTGCTATAATGATAAAGATAAATTTCATATTTCCCCCATTTTTCCCTTCTGGGTTTTCAATTGCAGCTCTCTTTTAGGATTTATCCATGTTAATGGGTTTTCAGTTTTGATTTAATACCTCTAGGTCCGAACTTAAATTATTTTTGTTTGCTTGGGGAGTTAACGATTCTGTTTTTCCTTTTATGGTGAAGACCAAGTATGTGGGAGATGGGCAAGAACAGAAAAGCGTGCAGATGGAAGGACTGAATTTAATGAACAAAGTATTATTTGTTAGAGGTGCAAGGATTGGTTTTAGTATTTGGGATGTAGGAGGTAATGTTGATATTATTTCTGCTTTTTTCTTGGATGACTGGTTTTCAGGAAACGAAGGATGGATAACTTGAACTTTTGGATGCAGGTGATCATAATAAGTCTCTTGATCATGTTCCACTTGCATGTACAGATGCAGCAGCAATCTTCTTCATGTTTGATCTTACCAGTCGATGTACTCTGAATAGGTTCGTTCAGAATCATTTTGGTGTCCGACTTACGCACTCTGTCTCTGTTTTTTTCCCCTCTTCCTAGCGAAAGAAGGATTTTGAAATTTAGTGGGTTAGCTTAGAAGGAATCCATTTCCCGATTCTATTAATGGAAGTTCTGACTGAACTATTGATTAGACTTCTACCTGTCTTCTCATTTCTTTTTTTAATGATTGCAGTGTTCTTGGCTGGTATCGTCATGCAAGGAAATGGAATCGGGTAATTAAACCTCTTTCTCTTACAGTTTCCTGTTTAATGGGTTTTCAGTATTTCAGCCTGAAAAATCTCAGGCTGTCACCGGCATCAAAGTATTTCAGCATTTAGTTATGGTGCTGAAATTATTAACCAATTTATAAAGATTACCAATGCATGATTAGGAAATATGATGTATTCTTCTCCTCTGTATTTTCTCTATATTTTCACATTAGATTTCTGATAACTTCTAGTTTTTCAATTATCATTTGCTTTTACAGACGGCGGTTCCTGTACTAATCGGGACCAAATTTGATGATTTCGTCGACCTCCCCTTGGATCTCCAATGGACAATAGTTAGCCAGGTAAGAATTTCTCAAAACATTAACCACCCAAGTGAAATTGAGCTTTTTACAGAATGCACTGTTTATGTCAAAACAAATGAATGGGCGAGCTATCTCTGTCTTTCTTTGCATATAATTACAAAGATGAGCGTGAGATTCGTCGTCCTAAATGGACCCAATACCCCAGAAAGACTGAATTGTGGATTTAACAGCTTCATCATAAATTCCTCCAAAGGATTTTGAATGGACAGATGGAGTGGAGCCAAACCTTAGAAATTAGCTATCATCTTTAGGTGTAAACGTGGAGAAGGAATTGGATGAACACTTTTGTCCTTTAAGCAAAACGACAAACACTAGGCGCCCATTGCAAAAGACAACCTCTGAATCCCTCTCTCTCTCTCTCTCTCTCTCTCTCTCTCTCTCTGGTACAAATTAGCCTTTTTTTATAACTCAGTTGCAGCAACAGTGTGGTACTGCTTCAGAGCACCAAGTGGGTCATTATAAATTAGAATTTAAACAACCGGGTGCCATGGATAGTCATCAACTGATCTGATGCATCATATCATCCAAGGAACCTGCATCTGATTAGACTTAAAGTTCAGCTCATACCATCTTTAGGACGAGTTTATGCTTGCTTTATTTTCTAAGAGTTTCATTGTTTTAATTTGGATTGACCAATTAAACTTTTCCTTTGTTCTTTTGAATTTTGAATTTTGTTGTGTTTCCACCAGGCAAGAGATTACGCGCGGGCAATGAAAGCAACCCTCTTCTTCTCGAGTGCCACCCACAACATAAACGTCAACAAGGTCTTCAAATTCATCACAGCCAAACTCTTCAACTTGCCGTGGACAGTGGAGCGAAATCTGACAGTTGGAGAACCCATAATTGATTTCTAATGGTTTCTTGGCCGTAAAGATCTCACTGGCAGTCGATCTGTAAATAGCAAATTCACTTTAGTTCCAGTAAAAGAACGACCGGAGATGATTGGTCTCCCGGGTTGTTTAGTCGTTAAGTCCCCAGTAACAGAAACTTGGATTTGGGTTTGCGTTTACTTTTGTCTGAATTTGTGTGGAGGAAGAAGAAGAAAATTGCAGAGAGTAGAGACCACGTCTCCATTCCTGAGTACCCACACGGGTGTTAGACGTATTCTCAAACAGAGTAACAACCACAAAACTCAAAAGGAAGGATAAAAGAAAACAAAGGGTACAAGGATGGATAGACACCATGTTTGAATAGACACCACGTCTCCTTTCCGCGTTCAATGAATCCTGAGTGTTCATATGAATATGATCATATCTGTGGGCACAGTGGGCCAAACTGGTTTACCAAATTATTCAAACAAAAGAAAAAAGAAAGAAAACCAGAAGATGATCATCAGATGCAGATGGAGATGGGGTCAATCTCTCTAAGCCCTTCATTTTTCTTTTTGTTTTTGTTGGGACCCACGTGATGTCTGTTGTGGATATTGCACCTTGTCTATTGTATATGGAGTAATGAAGGTCCCAACCTGGGGAATTCCCTTTTGCAAAATGCTAGATAGAAATGTAATCTTATGACAAACCATGTGTGTGTGTGAATGAAGAGGAAGGGCACCTTCCTATTCCCTTTTCCAGGAAAGCATTGTGATTTGTATGTGAAAACGTAAAAGAAAATACTAAACTGGTGTGATGTATTAAAGGTTGAGGAATCAATAAAAGAGGGAGAGAAAGAGAGAGTGACACAACTAGTAGAGAACAAAAGTTGATTCGATTATGAAAAGTTGCCATTTGGCAATAGCCAATGCTCTCCACTTCATTGCACCGAGTGGCACACGGCAACCTTGAGTTGAAGCCTCAACCAAGAATTCTTATATCGTGGTTTGAAGCTGACTTATACCAAAGAGCTGAATGGTTTGTCTAGCTAAAGAGTCTGACTATGGTGCCGAAAGTACGCTGTAATTTGGCTCTAGTGACAAAGTATTGTCGCATTTCAAAAGTTTAGTATTAGATTGTTGCAATTTAAAGTTTAGGTACTAAATTGGCACTCGATACAGGACTATCAGAAATTTATCCTTTTTTTTAGAAGTTATTATACCTAGCAGTTAAAGAAAGTTGGTGAAAACACAACCTGATTACCAGGTAGGGGTGTCAAATTGGACTGGATTTGGTCCAATCCGATCCGATATGAGTCTTTTACAGATGGACTAGGTTCAATTCAATCCGATAAATACTTTTTTGGATCATTTTGGACCAGTCCAATTCAATGTGTGGATTGTCCAATCTCAAATTGGTTTTAATTTAGATTGGTTCCAACCAAACCTGGTCCATTGACACCCATATGCCTCATTTGTTTTTCGATAAATTATTAATACTTATCCAGGTAAGTGCATTTATTCATGTTCTTTTAATTCTCAGATAAATAATATGATGACCATTTTAGCGATAAAAAGCCATTATTAATAGGGACAATTCTGTCCCATCCAAGTATTGGAAACTTCCCCTGGGTGGAAAAGTTATTTACTCATCTGGGAGATGGGTATCACTTACCCGGAAGGGAAAATAAGTTTTTTGTGGACTTCACTTAAATCTGAATAAAAAACATGGGTATCTTGGTCAATGGAAATCAAAATCCCCTCTCAAAATTAAAAAAAAAAAACGAATAGGTCCGTATTCTTATCTTCTATCAATGGACCGGATATTGATTATTTATTCATCTGGGAGATGGGTATCACTTACCTGGAAGGGAAAATAATTTTTTTGTGGACTTCACTTAAATCTGAATAAAAAACATGGGTATCTTGGTCAATGAGAATCAAAATCCCCTCTCAAAATTAAAAAAACGAATAGGTCCATATTCTTATCTTCTATCAATGGATCGGATATTGATTATTTACTCATYTGGGAGATGGGTATCACTTACCCGGAAGGGAAAATAATTTTTTTGTGGACTTCACTTAAATCTGAATAAAAAACATGGGTATCTTGGTCAATGAGAATCAAAATCCCCTCTCAAAATTAAAAAAACGAATAGGTCCATATTCTTATCTTCTATCAATGGATCGGATATTGATTATTTACTCATYTGGGAGATGGGTATCACTTACCCGGAAGGGAAAATAAATTTTTTGTGGACTTCACTTAAATCTGAATAAAAACATAGGTATCTTGGTGAATAGGAATCAAAATCCCCTCTCAAAATTAAAAAAATGAATAAATCCGTATTCTTATCTTCTATCAATGGACCGTATATTGATTTAGTCTGGCCCAATTCAATATAATCCATTATGGATGGACCGGTCCAATCTAATCCAATAAATACTTTGCACCATTAAAGTTTTCATTCATTCAACACCTCTAAGCAGGCTTCTGGCGGAAGGATACAAAGATATTTTTAGGTCCCAGTCTCCCAGCCTGATGTAACGTGTAAGCATTGACTTGTTAAGAATGGGCTTTATTTTAAAATTGACAAATTTAGGAGTATCGAATCTTTCTGTAAGAATGGCTTTCAATTTCAATTAATTATTGCCATATGAACACGCGAATACTAACTTGTAGTGTTTGTGAATGTCATTAACTCATTATCACCATTCAGAAGATATAGCTTCATCTTCGCTCATTTCTAGGTTAGTTGAGGTAAATGAGATAAGCCTCAAGTGTAGAATCAACATACAGGCTCAAATCAATGGTGGCCCTTCTTCTCTCTTGCCAAGTTAGTTGAGTTTAAAGAAGTAGGACTGTAGATTTGAAAGCATAGCATTGGAGTTGTGATCGATCCAATGAGCACCCTCTCACTGGGTACAGCTTTTGTGTACATCACTCATTGATTATTGTGTGGATGTATGATTAAACCAATAATATTAATGCATATAATGGGGTGGATTACAAAAATTAAACCCATCATCATGAGAAGATTTTGAGTAATAAACAACTTTTATCCACTGTTTTTTTGTGTAGGATGAAGATCCTATGCTAGATTTGATATTTGGAAGATTTTTATTTTTGAAAATTTCTTAGGATTTTTCTTGTTGTTCTAGTAGTTTCTATAACTAGGAAAGTAAAGATCGAGTCCTATTAAGTATGCTTTCAGGAATATTCTTTCTTATTACAAGTGGCCCAAAGGTTCTTGGAGGCCCGTGAGCACAAAGTAAGGAAGAGGAGATTCAAATCACTGAAAACAGAGTCGCATCTTAGGTTGGCTTTGCAGCAGAATTGCACTGTATATTGTGGGAAGTGCAGGGGAAAGTTATGTTCTTGGAAAACTCTTGAAGTCTACTTTCTAGAGTATCAAATGGAACCAAATTTGGGGTTTCCTATACAAAGTTATCACCATTTTACTAAGGTGTGCACTGTTGACCGCAAGAAATTGAAAAATGCTAGCTATGAGCTTTTGAGTCCGAATCGGATTAAGAAGTTTATTTTTTGAGTAAATACAATTGTTTAGAAATTATGTGTTTAATTAAGAGTTTACTATTTTAGTTGATGAATTGTCTACAAACATGGCCATTGTACATGTTCAATCATATAGTAAATTAAATATAATTGTCTTTGAGGTTCTTTTCTTTCATTATTTGTGGATTCAAGGATTGTTTTCTCATTGAAGAAGATGGTGATCTTCTTTCTTCCTTGCTTCCCATTTTGCATTAGTTTTCAACCAACAATTAACCTTTTAATTTCCTTGTTTCCATTGATTACCTAAATGCTTGAGTTGCATGTAATAGCTAGTTCTATGGTTATTCCTGCATTGCAAAACATATCATAGAATTCTTATATCACAAATATCACTTATTGAATACATTCTGTTAGTACCGAAGTGTTTGGCTATAGTTCTTGATAACACTTTTTTAAGGCATGTGTTGTTTTATTGGTAAAGCTAAATGTTCTGGATCAAGGGAATATAAAAAGACATCAGTCAGAAGATGACAGACTTCTCAGATTGCTACAGTTAGGTTGGATGGTGCAAATTATTTGGACCATTACTACAGTTAGGTTGGATGGTGCAAATTACTTGGAATGGTCACAATCTGCAAAGATGGCCATTGGTGCTCATGGGAAATTAGGGTATATCACTGGTGAAGAAGTGAAACCCGAAACTAACAATTTCCAGTGGGTGCAGGAAAATTATATGGTGATGACTTGGTTGTGTAATTCCATGTTGCCACATATAAGTAAAATTTTTTTATGGGAAAATACAGCTAAGGAGATATGGGATGGGGTTGCAGAAACCTATTCCCAGAGGGAGAATGTAGCTAGGGCTTATCAACTGAGAAGTCAGATTATTGCTACAAGACAGGGAGATAGATCTGTTGCAGCCTATTGTTCACTCCTTAAAACCCTGTGGCAGGAGATTGACTATTTAGAGACATTTGCTTGGGAACCACTAAGGATGCAGCTACCTATCAGAAACATCTAGAGAAGTATAGGGTGTTTGAATTCTTTGTTGGCCTTAATCTTGAGTATGATATTGCACGATAGCATCTTCTTTCCAATGACAGTGTCACTCTCTCCCAAGCATATGCCTTTGTGTCAGGGGAGGAGTGTAGGAGGGATGTGATGATGAAAAACCTCATTTCTGATCAGTCTGCCATGGTAAGTACTGTGAAACCTAAACAAAGTGGCAGTGAAATCAAGAAAGAAGACAAACGAGATCTGATATGTGACTACTATAAGAAGCCTAAACATACAAGAGATACTTGCTGGAAGTTTCACTCACATCTTGTGTCGACTAGATTGAAAAATAAGAAGAGCAATGCACACATGGCAATTACCGATGACACTTCGGCCCCTCCTACTACAACTGCTCTGGAGTCTGTTGCAGCTGCTGCAGTAAGGGCCGAACTTAAGAGGTATGGGCTACTTCTGAACTAGCGGGATACAACTAGTTCCAGTTCAGCCGCCAGCGGACAACAAGGTACAGGTGGCACTGGTGGAGTCCACTCTATCTCCTTTGCTCACACATGTAGTTCACACGCCACTGCAAATTATGTTTCCACTTCAGGTAAGGAGGAACCTCCTTGGATTATAGATTCTGGAGCCTCAGAGCACATGACCCATAGCTCCACTATTTTTTCTTCTTACTAGCTCTGTTCTGGCAGAGATAGGGTCTCCGCAACTGATGGATCCCATGTTCCTATTGCTAGGAAGGGATCTGTCAAGATTATTGATTCTATTTGTCTACCCTCTGTCCTTCATGTTCCCAGATTGAATACTAATTTGTTATCTGTTAGTAGTTTGACTAAGAACCTGAACTGCTCAGTAATTTTTTCTCTTGGACGTTGTATTTTGTAGGATCTGGATTCAAAGAGGACGATTGAGAGTGGTCGTGAAGTGAATGGAATTTACCTCCTGGATGCACTTCCTCCTCATTAGAGTCATCATGTCAGCAGGGATAGTGAGTCAGGATCTGTGAGTCAAATTATGCTTTGGCATAATCGTTTGGGTCATTTACCTTTTTCTTCTTTGAGTTCTTTGTTCCCAAAACTTTTTGAGTCTGTTAGTCTGTCAAGTCTGGAGTGTGAAGGTTGTCAACTTGGAAATGATTGTAGACATTCATTTAAACTTAGTAATAAAATATGTTTTTCTTCTTTTGATGTTATTCATTCGGATGTGTGGGGCCCTTACCATGTCCGTTCTATGGGAGGTTATCGTTATTTTCTCTTATTTGTGGATGATTTCTCTCGATACTCTTGGATTTACCTGATGAAATCCTGCGATGAGGTACCATCCTTGGTGAGGCAATTTCATCAGATGGTACTAACACAATTTGGAACAAGAATAAAGGTGTTCAGATTTGACAATGCCAGAGAATATTTTGAAAGACATCTTGCCTCATATCTATTAGAATATGGTGTTGTCCATCAGAACAGTTGCCCCTACAGTCCACATCAGAATGGTGTTGCAGAAAGGAAGAACATACACATTGTTGAGACCGCAAGAAGCATGATGATCACATCTATAGTTCCAGTTCGATTTTGGGGTGATGTAGTTCTTACAACATTATATCTGATTAACAGGGTGCCCTCTCGTATACTTGGATTCAATACTCCATTAAGTCTTCTTTTTCCTCAGGGGGAGATGTTTCATATTCCTCTCAAGGTGTTTGGGTGTGTCTGCTTTGCACATATCTTTGGTCCTCACCGCTCGAAGCTTGATCCCAAGGCAAAGAAGTGTGTCTTCCTTGGATATGCAGAGAATCAGAAAGGGTACTACTGCTATGATCCAGTCTCTAGGAGCTGATATGTTACCATGGATGTCACATTTTTTGAATCCACGTACTTTTTTTCAAAGAATCCTTCTCAGGAGGAGTGTTTTGGGGAAGCAAGTCAACAATCTATTCCTCTCCCAGTTCTAGTCCCTGTGTCTACTCCTATGCTTGATCACCACCCTGTGGCACTTACCTTGCCACCTCCTTTGCATTCTGTTTCTTAGCATTACTCACGACAGAGACTTCACAAGGCGGTTGATTATACTACAGCAAAACTCACACCACTTCCTGTCGATCCCTTGGAGACTCCAGATTCGACTGACATGGATTCAGGTATTCCTCTTTGTCCCGCTACTATTTCAGTTCCCATTGATCCTACTAACTCTGTTACAGATAACCTTGATCTTCCTATTGCTCTCAGAAAAGGGAAGAGAAAGTGTACTGGTCATTGTATTTCACAGTACTTATCCTACAGTGGACTTTCTCCTTCCTACCGTGATTTTCTCTCTTCTCTTGATTCAATGTCTATACCCAAGGGTGTTAGTGAGGCTCTCTCCAAACCTGAGTGGAAGACAACTATGCAGGAAGAGATGGAAGCTTTGATTAAAAATCAGACATGGAACATCGTGGACCTACCAGACGACAATGAGACAGCTAGATGCAGATGGGTTTACGTAGTAAAATATAAGGCAGATGAAAGTATAAAAAGGTACAAGGCAAGACTTGTTGCAAAAGGGTACACACAGACCTATGGCATTGATTACTTAGAGACCTTTGCGCCAGTTGCAAAGATGACCTCTGTTCGGATACTTCTTTCTCTTGTTGCCTTATACTCTTGGCCCTTGTTTCAATTAGATGTGAAGAATGCTTTCCTAAATGGGGATCTGCAAGAGTAAGTGTATACGGATTTTTCTGTTAGTTTTTACAATGATATTGAAAACAGAAAAGTATGCAAGCTTAAGAAGTCACTCTATGGCTTGAAACAATCTCCCAAAGTATGGTTTGACAGATTCAGAAAGGCCTTGATTGCTTTTGGATACACTCAGATTCAATCCGATCACACTTTGTTTGTGAAGCGCAGGGGATCTTTGGTGTCAGTCCTAATTGTTTATGTGGATGATATTGTTGTCACTAGGAATGATTTGAGTGAGATTGGTAGTTTGAAAAGGAACCTACATAAGGAATTTGAAATTAAGTATCTTGGAGAATTGAGATATTTCTTAGGCATTGAAGTTGCAAGATCGAAACATGGAATTTTTATCTCTCAAAGGAAGTATGTCTTGGACCTTCTTCAAAAGACATGGAAGCTTGGAACAAAGGCAATTAACACCCTTATTGATTAGAACCATAAAATCAATGTATCAAAAGGTGAATCAATAAAGGACATTGGGAGATATCAGAGACTTGTGGGTCGGCTGCTATACTTGTGTATGACAAGACCAGACATCTCCTATGCAGTGAATGTAGTAAGTCAATACATGCATGCTCCACGAGTCCAGCATTGGGAGGTAGTTGACAGGATTCTTGCTTATCTGAAGGGACACCTGGGCAGAGGCATACTGTTCACTGATCATGGACAGTTGAAACTAGAGGCTTATATAGATGCAGATTGGACAGGATGCCTTGATGACAGGAGATCAACTTCAGGAGTGTGCACCCTAGTTGGGGGCAACCTAGTCTCATGGAAGAGTAAGAAACAAAAAGTGGTGGTAAGATCAAGTGTTGAAGCCGAATACAGGGCCATGGCACATGGAGTTTCAGAACTTTTCTGGATCCGTTCTTTATTAGAAGAAATTGGTGTATAGGCAGAAGAACCCATGATGCTATACTGTGATAACTAGACAACAATTAATATTGCCCATAACCCAGTCCAGCATGACCGAACTAAACACATTGAAGTAGATAGACATTTTATCAGAGAAAGGGTAACTTCTGGAGAAGTTTGCCTTCCATACATTACTTCTGATCTGCAGCTCGCCGATGTTCTCACAAAAGGTGTTGCAAAGAATAAGCTGGAGCATGACCTACGCAAGTTGGGAATGTGTAACATTTACTCCCAACTTGAGGGGGAGTGTTGAGTGGCCCAGTTTTGTTTTAGTTTGTTTTTATTTAGTTATGAAGTTGTTGGGCCTAGGCCCATTAGTTTATATTTTTTAAAGTTGTGACTGTTCAGTTTTAGTAGCCACTAGACCTGCTCATGGGTCGGGCCGGGCCGGGCTTGGGCCGGGCTTTTACTCTTCATTAACAGAAATATGTTAGGCCCGAGCCCGAGCCCGGCCTGACCAACGGGCCTACAACTTGGGCCCGAGCCCGACCCTAATAAAAAGCTCGAAGCTCGAGCCCGAGCCCGAAGCCCGACCTAATAAAAAAAATTAGAAAGTTTCCCTATTCAATAATCAATATAAATAAGAATTTATTTACATTAAAAAAATATATAAATTCAAAATTTATTTATATTAAAAAAAGAATATAAATAAGGGAAAGATGATGTGGAGAAGAAGAATTCGGTTGGAAAAAGAAGGGAAAGAGGTGAAAAAAAGAGGGATATTCAACTAGGGTTTTTAGGTTTAGTTATAGGTCGGGCCGGGCCGGACTCGGGCCAGGCTATTTTGACAAATCCCAAGCCTGGCTCGAATTTATTGTGGGCCGGGATTTTTGGCCCGAGGTTAAGCCCGCGGGCCTATATACCTATTCAAGCCCGTCCAGGGGTCGGGCCGGCCCGTCGGGCCACCCGACCCATGAACAGGTCTAGTAGCCACCCTACTAAGGGTATCCTTGTAATATCTCATCTTTAAGTTAAATATAAATATAATGAGAGGTAGGCGGCTAGGGTTAACTTTTCTCACAATCCTAGTTGACCTCCTACTCTTTTCTTCTTCTCCTTCCTTCTCTACTGCTGAAATCTTCACCTTCCCCCTCTTTCTTTCACAAGAAGCTTGACTAAATCAGCAAATAGTGATTTCTACTCTATGCAAACTATGCAAACTGATTCAATTACATATTCAAGCTTTTGGAAGATCTGTCAAGCAACACAGTTTTTCTTTCTTGGAAAGGCAACTAGATTCTGTAGGTGTATGTAATAAGTAATTACTTATTGATAAAAAAAGGTAACTTACTAAAATAATATAGTGAATAGAAGTATTCTGGAAAGAAAGACTGCTGATCAAGAAAGAAAAAAAGTATTCTGGAGGGAAAGACAACGAGGATTAGATTTATATATGTGGATAGAGCAGTTCCACCATATGAAGACATCTTAGGTACAGCAGAGGATGCAGACACCTGCCCATAATAACTTGGCACCATGCAGTTCTAACAGAAACATTCTGGAAATAAAGACAATGGGGATTAGAATTTATACAAGGGAAAAACAATGCCAGTATGCCACCATAATGGAGACACCTTTGGTGTATATAGAGAATACGAATATGTGCCTCGTAGAATTTGGTACCAATTTCTTAAATCAATTCATCATCCAAGAACTTAAGGAATGAAAAAAAAAACCAAAAAAATAAAAATAAAAGTAGAAGTCAATACCATGAAGATCTTAGATAAGTCAGGTCTGATCTTGTTAGAGAAAAGGAAAATATAGGCAGCATACATTAATGAAAAAGAAGCTTTCACAGAACAGCAGGGTGCATTGCATGTTGCTACTGTGGCCTCACTTCACATACACTCATTGTCAAGATGAGGGCAAGAGAAACACGACTCTCGCAAGGAAAGATAGGACGTCCACCATCAGTTTATCTGTAGTCTTCATGCAAGAGATCAACCATCACCCTGGGAAGACAACAGTCAACAGGGCGTCTGCCCTGGTACCAGTCAAGCACGCTCCATGTCAAGAAATAAAGGCTAGCCAGTGAGGTCTCCAAAGAATACAGAAATGCGGTCCAAGTCAGCCCTTAGTTTGTTGATGTTGCCCTATTGCAGACGTGGCTGACATGTGGCTATTAACAAAAAACTGACACCAACAACCACGATTCATCAGCTTGCACAAGAATAGGGAAAGAAGCAACTCTGTTATACTCATGCATGATTCTAAATTTCTAATAGGCCAACCTTGCGAATCAAATTTAACTGGATCTCCAACTCAATCACCAGAAATTGCCACAGGAACATAACCCATCATGAAAATGGTGAAACCTCATGTTATCCCTCACTATAATCTCCATACTCATGATCCTAGAGGCACCACATATAACTGAGTGACAGTCCTCACACATCCTAAGGTTTTTCATGATTCTTATGGTGCTGCCAGGGCTTGTGGTCATAAGCCCAAACACCAAGGCTAGTTTTTCACTATGGCTCATTAGCAACCTCTCCTTTTCTTCGTCACTGACATCATAAACCACAGAACTGAGATTTGGTTTGTATCCATCAAGCTTTAATCTTTCCAGAAGATCCTCCAAAGCCTGTTTTATTTCAGTGGACTTAGGATGAGTCATGTCCCCTGCAAAGAACTCATGAATGACCCCATCCTCTGTTTCCATCCAACTGCACCCTGGGTTCTTTCTAAGACCTCTCATTCTCATCAACTTCCTTACCCTTGAAACATCATCCCACCTACCTGCGGATGCATTGATATTTGAAAGCAATACATAGTTTCCAATAGCATCGGGCTCAAGCTCAAACAGATGACTGGCGACAATCTCAGCAAGGTCAGGATTCTTATGAATACGACATGCACCAAGAAGTGCTCCCCACACACCTCCATGGCGTTCGATTGGCATTGATTTAATAAGATTGTGAGCTTCTTCCAGGTGTCCAGCACGACCAAGAATGTCTACCATGCACGTGTAGTGGTCCGCGGATGGTTCAATCCCATAGACTTCCTTCATACTTGAAAATAAACAACGTCCCTGCTCCACCATCCCTGCATGGCTACATGCAGTAAGCACCCCAATAAATGTAACCCTGTTTGGCCTTGTCTCTGTCTCTGCCATATCAGAGAACAATTTCATTGCTGAAACAGCCTGTCCGTGAACTGCAAACCCCAAAATCATCGCACTGTAAGAAAATACATTCCGCTCAGTCATTCCTTCAAAAACTTGATATGCGTCCACCACGCTCCCGCATTTGCAGTACATATCTATCAAAGCAGACCCGATGACAACATTCCAAGGAGGCCCTAATCCTGCTTGTTCAGCAATATCCCGAACCCAACTAGCATACTTCAATGCACCTAGTTGGGCACAGGCCGAAATGACACCCACCAACGTGACTTCATCTGTTTCCGCACCTACATCCTGCATTCTTTCGAACAATCTCAGTGCTTCCTTTGGCCTTCCGTTTTGGGCGTAACCCGTGACCATTGCCGTCCATGCCACCATGTCTTTTTCTGGTAACCCATCGAACAACTCTGCCGCTGCTTCCATATCTCCATTTTTCGCATAAGCAACAATTAACGACGTCCATGAGATTACATCTCTAACAGGCATCTCATCAAATACTCGGTGGCCACATTCCGGATATCCACATTTCACATACATATCAATCAATGTGTTGCTTACGTAAAGATTCGACTCGAATCCACCAATCGAAATAGTTTGGCAATGTATTTGCCGCCCAGAGTTGACATCGAGGGCCGCAGTACAAGCCTTAAAGAGGGCCGAGAAAGTGAACGATACAGGACCTGTACCTTCCCTTCTCATGCACTTATAGAGTACTATTGACTCACTGAAGAGGCCGTGGAGAGAATAGCCTCGAATAAGCGCCGTCCAAAGAAATGGATTTGGGTGCTGGACCTGATAAAAAATGAGACGGGGGTAAGGGTCCATGGATACGTTAAATTTAGTAAGCATCCGGATGAGCTTGGCCAGAACGAATGAGCACTGATCGAGACCTTTCCGAATGAGATGAGCGTGAACTTGCCTGATCTGGTTGACATCATTGCAGCTATGGAGAAGAGAAACAAGTCTAGATTCTAAGAGTTTCTTTTGTCGTTGTTGTTCAGAGAATGGAAGAAAGGTTAACTGCTGGATTTGTTGTAGAGAGTGGTAACAACGGGAAGAGGCTAAAAACCTGTTTCTGCTCAAATGGCGGGAAACGGCAACCATTACAGGTCGAATGTTGTGTGTCTGGGAGGGAATGAATCCCATCTGCCCATCAGACCATTTCTCCACACCTTTATGGTCAACCAAGCAACGGTTTGGATGACGAATAATAAATTTATCTTAATATTAACGGTTCAGATACCGATAATAATTTAATATAGTAGGACTGGGAGCCTCACATCACCGAGCTGGTGATACTTCAATTGGATTTCCCTCTATCTATGTTCTCTTCATTTCATCTGAAAATGGCGATTGGCGCCTTAAGTTATTCTCCAGTCTTCTGTGCCAGCTTGGGTGCTTTACACTGTAGAGCTTTTGCAGGCTCCGTTGCTCTTGTGCGTAGACTAGCCGCCTCCAATAATGTTTACAGAAGGCGAGACAAGAACTTGGGTCGGTGTTCTTGGGGTTCAAGCCACTCCAGATTTTCCTGCTGTAATTCAAGAACAGATGTTAGTGCCCCTGTCAGCAGTCCTTCAGCTAACGGGTACTTCATATCTTCATGCTCTATTTTTATTGTATTTTTTTGGGCTGTCTGTTTTATCTTTGTTCCTGTTTTCAGCTTATTTTGTGGCAAAGTTCATGTTTCTCAAACTAATTATTGTGGATATTGCGTAGTAGCTATGCAAGTTGGATTTGTTATTGTTGGAACTTCTTTATTGAAGATATGGAATCCCGTGTACTCATCTACTGGGTTTTGATGATTTTAGTTCATGGGCTAGATCATCCACCTTTGGCTTGTTTCGGAACCAGATTTCATATTTTGACTTGGTTTTATGTTTTGGAGAAAATTCCACGGCGTATGTCTCTGTCTGTATATTCTTGTAGAGCTTGGAAGATACAAAATGCTAGTATAACACTATAACTGCAAAATGGCTTCGGTCAATTTACATGGCTGTAATGCATTCTCACTAATGGTCAGTGTTTTAGTCTCTTTTATCAATTGCCTAAAACCGAATCTCCCTCACAAATGAGGAATAAAAGGATGAATAGATTCACTTGACTAATAGCGCATGAGTCTGTAAGATGTTTACAGGATTCTGAGTTGGTTGATGGTTGTTCAAAGTTCTGCCGTGTGCTTCTTGGTGTACTATTTCAACTGTTAAAATGTTGTATTGTACCCAGAGCATACTGAGACCTTCAATTGATTCAAATCCAATGTTGTCCAAGATGGTCAATAGGACAGGTAATGGAATACCTAAATCCAAGAGGATCATTTATATTGTGTGCTACTTTTCGTCTCAGTCTGAGAGAGAGCTATTTCTACCAGAGAAGTTTTTAATATACCTTAGGGCTTGAGGATACTAATTGTACATTTTAGAATGCATTTATTTATTTGAATTCAAGTATGCTCTTACTGTTGATAAAAATACTTTATTAACTTGTAGACAATGCAAAGCAGTGGAATACAACTGAAACAATAGTGGGAATGAAATCAAATATCCTAGTCAAGCATTTTGTACAAAAGAAGTGATTGATTATCTTTACTCAGCCTCGTTATGGCCAGAACATAGATACCATTTTAGGTGAACCAGTCATGCATAGCATATACTCTTTCTTATGTTATTTCTTTCTCTTGCTTGATACATAATTAATAAGGACATCACGCATATTTATAATTTATTTAATTTTGTGCAATTGCCACTTTGACTGCCACATAGTCCATGTATGTTCTTTTTAATATCTATTTTTGGTTTTACCTATGAAAAGAAAAGAAAACATTATTACTGGTGCTGTGGTGCAGTCTCTAAAACTGTTGTAAGTTATTGTATTCCATTAGCTATAGCAATAATACACATAAACATATGTGCATGCATGAATATACCTGTTTTTCGTGTTTTTTTACTTATGTAGGTCTTTTCTTGAAGGGAGGTTTCATAGTTAAAAATGCATTTTATCATCTTATTGCTCTTTCTGAAGGTGTGGCCCTAAAATGTTAAATTTATAGTGACATTATTGTCTCATGTAATTGGTACTTGGTAGATAAGATGCTTAGATGCCTTCCATCGCAAATAACTTAAATTTCATTTGCATTCCATGTTAGAGAAATAGGTTGTAGTTGCCATCTGTGTGTGTGTGACCTGTATGATAGAGATATTTTGCTTTTGTCCAGAAATAGGTTGTAGTTGCTTTTGTCCATTTGACATGAAATGGTTTCAACTTTCTCTTTGTGTTTCTCTTTTGGCTCTTAGCCATTTACTATGGATATACTAATTCTCAGAACTATTGGTTGCAGGTATCCTGAATACACTCGTTTACTTCCTTGCCCATTACAAAATGGTCCACCAAGAATTGAACATCTTGTTGTTTCAGAAGGAGGTCCTGTTCTTGAATATATTAGCAAAGCTTTAGATCTTCCTCCTCTGTAAGTGTCATTTTCATTTTTCTTTCTTTTACTGTTCGGAAAATTTTCTTTGGTATATTAGTACCTTGAGACTAGCACAGGTTGAGTGATGGGTAGAAAACTTTGTCTATGAAGATTTGTTGCAGATCTCATCCATTTTGGAGCTGTATATTATGCTCTGGTTTGTCCAGAGCCACCTCCAAATGCAATGCCTGAGCAAATTCGTGTATATAAAGAAGTGACAGCACCATCGGTTCTTAAAAATAGACTTTCCATTAAAGGGAAGACTATACGGGAAGCACAGAAAACATTCCGGATAACCCACATTAATGAATTTGTTGAAGCTGGAACATACCTACGTGTGCATGTACACCCAAAACGCTTCCCAAGGTAATTGATCAACAGGCAACCTTTATATTTGCCTAGAAAATTCTTCTGCAAAAATCAAGTTTTAATATTCAAACAATAGATGATATGTTTCTCCAGAAGAGGTTTTGGTTGTAAGATATTATCGTGATCCCTAGGTTCATGATAATATCTGGCTATAAATCTGTACAGGAAGCACAGAAAACATTCTGGATAACCCACATTAATGAATTTGAAAATACTTGCATGTGCATGTACACCTAAAACGCTTCTCTGAGTATACCTCCCCTTCTGCAAAAATCAAGTTTTAACAATTCAAACAATAGACAATAGGTTTCTTTAGAAGAGGATTTGGTTGTAAGACTAAGATATCATCATGATCCTTGGATTCATGGTTCAAATCATGATTTACATCATAAATTATAACGTTAGCAGACTATAACTAGACAAACCAACTTTGACTCATCATCTCCTGCATCGCCAACTTCTTTTGGAATTTCCCTTTCTCTGAGTATTTAACCTGCATTGACTACCATTTGCTTTTACTGGAAATTAATGTGTTTCATATGTGGTTTTGTTGTCTTTGAATTTGATCAGGTGCTATGAAATTGACTGGAGATCAAGAATTATAGCTGTGACTGAATCCTATGTAGTTCTGGACAAACCTGCTGGTACATCAGTATGTAAATAGCATATTACTTCACTGCTCTATATCAAATCTTAAGATATAATGGTGGTATATGATGCATAATGTGCAAGCAGTGAATGATGGGATGACATTACTAAAGTTGAATCTTTTCGTCTGTATGTCTGCCTGCATGCCCCTGCTTACCTGTCTATCTACGTATATATATATACACACACATATGGGAGTGGATGCTTTAGCTAAACAAGGGACTGTAAGGGAGAGACTTTACTGGGCAGTGCTGTAATGGT